CCAGGCAAACTGTTACAGTCACTATCTTAGGAAGGCAATACCTTCTCTTTGGTAGACAAATTCATCTCTCTCTTCCAAAGTATTCATTTCACTTATCTTTTCCTTTGATAAATAAAGTGACCAGAAGTTAAAAAAATAATAAAAACATGACCACTTAACTTGTTACCTTTATTGATAGATTTGTAGCAGCCAATACAGACTCTTGCTTCCTTTTCCATATACTGCAACTTGCACCTCCGATTGCAACAGACACCACAATAAACCTGAATTAGAACAAAACCTAAAATAAATATTACAAGAAATAATGCCCTCTACAGTTAAAAGATTACTAGCACCTCCCACTACCAGACTGTATTTTCACTTGTTTATATCTTTAAGACTACTTTAAGTTACACATGTCATTGTGGGAGACCATTTCTGGAAAAAAAAAAAAAAAGGTACATCTATTTCTTAAAATGAAGCTGAGAGAAGCTGGGGGAGGAGGGAGAACATTTTGCTCATCTTAAAAACTTTGCTTGTGGCTGTTTAGTTTAGAATCTTCAACATCCCAGTGCTTTTGGAATAAGACTCAAAATTTAGCAGGGACTGTTTGCGTGCCAACAATAAACATGAACCTGCCCTCCTAAAAGTGCACCAAAGTTTGGAAGCAGGTCTTGATACATTCAAAAGACTCATTGGAGTATCAAGCAGATAAGCCTGAAGTATTTCTCTCCTAATGCAGGGATTGAGGGTGCATGAAACTACACATTCAACTACTGAGCAAGTCTCACCAGGCACCTATACACCTATATACTCTCGGGAGCTGCTCCAATTAAAATGCCCACAGCTTCTCCTGTATTCCGCATCTCACATTTCAAAACAGTGGCAGAGGTGTTCATTTGAGGAGCTTTAGTTAAACTGCCCTCACAACCATTTTGAAGTGCAAGATGCTGAATACAGAAGCTGCAGCACACTGGAGCGTTCCAATTAGAGATGCTTCAGCAGACTCAATTAACTGAGTCTGCTCTCAAGCATTCTAACCAGCACATGGCAGAGCACACGTAAAAGTGCCCACCGAGACTTGGAAGGCACCAAAGATGAGCGTCTATCTTTGGTACAATAATCCAACAGAAGGCTATTCCCTGGAATCCTTAGAGCATTTTGGGCCTGACACAGTCCCTGTAAAGAGTGGAAAGCTCCCAAGACACAGGTTTCGTTTGAACCATCAGAGAAATTAGCCAAACTAACAGCCTCTATTAAGCATGTGCCATCTGTAAAGGATATGCTCCAGCCCAACCTTGCTGGTTCTGAGCAGGACTTTCCTTACAACTGGTGTTCTTATTCTGCTGCCACAAACTCAGAGCAGGAAGCCTGCCCTGTGCTATCCCTAATGTAGCTCACACAACATGGTAGAAGAAACAAAGAAATGAGCAAGGCATGGATATGGAGAACTATATTGAAGGAAGTGGATTACAACAGCTGTCTGTGGGAGAAGATAGGAAAAGGCAGGAAAAGGCCATAATTACAGACATGGAAACCCCTAATCAAGACGTGGATGTCAATATGATTCCATGCGATTAAAAAAATTTACAGAAGGGCAAAATGTAAACTAAAGAAAGTCACACAGGAAAAATGCTCCACTAGGTTAAGTTATGAAATGCCAGACTTAAGATAATCCATGTGCCTTTGACTTTCCCGTGTGCATGAGCTATGACATTTTTCCATACGACCTCTGCCTTAAGTCCGCAACAGAGTAGTAAGTATAAAATATAGCTATATAACAAGGTAGGGATAATTTAATGCAGCAAGTTAAGCAGTGCAACTGAAGACACTAGACTTGGCACAGTAGGTGAGGCATGGGACTTCAGGAAGAAAAAGATCACTCTTATAATTAAGGCAGATGAATGCAGTTCTAGAGAAATAGATTCTCTCTCTGTCTCTGTGACACAAGTTTGTGTGACATTAGACAGTTTGCTTAAACCCAGGTATTCAAAAGGAGGTAACTAACACTATTCCTTATTTTTAAGGGACCAATTTAAGATCCCAGATTCAATCTGCAAGAGTACTGAGCCCTCACAGCTACAATGGAAGTCAGTGGGAACTGTGCTTTAAACAAAATGCTGGAATAATATGAAGTATTCGGGGGTGGGGGGAAGAGGGTGGGAAATCAGGTTCTAGCAGGCTCTAAGTGGACACTCAAACCAGCACACTTGACAATGATCTCAGTGCCACATGCACTGTAAAATTAGAACAGTGTTAATCCTCACCTTACAGGAATGAAAGGAAGATGCATTTGTTAACATTTCAAGTCCTCAGATGCCATAAGTGCCATTTAGAAGCCTACGAGAAGGTTAATTTTGTATTCTGAACAGGCCTTAAACATCATGCAGTAAAAATGGAAAGAGACCATAAACTGAATAACAGTGATAAATGCTGAGCAGCTTCTCCTTATATGAATGCCATCCATGCTGTGGAAAAAACAGAGCATGTAATCTAGATATCAGTAAGGGTGGCCAAAATTTGGAAAGGGCTTCCAAGGGAGGTGGTGCTCTTCCCTACCATGGGGGTCTTTAAGAGAAGGCTGGATAGACATCTAGCTGGGGTCATCTGACCCCAGTGCTCTTTCCTGCCTAGACAGGGGGTCAGACTCGATCTGTTGAGGTCCCTTCCGAATCTATGAATATCATTAAAAACTGCATAATACATAAAGTTATAGGGGTTTAAAACTTTGTATTCTTTCGATAGCACCTTGAACAACGGAGGCCTTCCAGCTCTATGATGAGACACTATAATAATAATAATACTGATAATAAAAATATCTCGCCTCTGTTCCTGCATTTCTAATCCTAATTGCTTACCTTTTTCTTTTTTTAACCTAAGCATTTGTGTATGCTTCAGAGGGGAAACAAACAGGAAATTTAACAACAGCAAAGCTTATATTTTGTTCCACTGGGCAATTTAAAAGATTACGATCGTGATTAATTATGATTTCAAATGTCAATTATATTGAGTAAGTTGCAACCTGTTTTCCCATCACCTGAAAGGCAGAGGAAACTTAATATACCCAGAAAGAGAACAATGTTAAGTAATGAACTTTAACTAGTTATTAACGGAAGACAAAAAGCTTTCCTTTAACTGTATTTTCAAAGAATGAAATTTTACTTTCTCTTTACATTTGCAAAGCACAGCGACTCATCTGTTATGCTCTATGAGTTTTATTAAAGCCAAGTCCAAGTTTCTTACAAAAAAGTGCTGAAAAAGCCTAAAAACTTACATTAAAATTCTTCCCACCAATATCTGAATTATGCCCAAGTTAGAACGGTCTTATTGTAAGTTGCTTTAAATACACCATATAAGAGCATAAGTATTTTGATGCAAACTGTTTTTCTATAACTTACTTTTCCACAAGCACGACAGTGGTGTCTTCTTTTTGTAAATGTGAACTTGACTTGGCAGTTCATGCAGTTTGGTGCCTCTGAATCAGGAACCCATGACGGCTGTTTCTGTCCCAGAACTACAGCTTCTACACCTGCAGGTATTTGACTTTCTCCAGCTTCCAAACTATTTTCTATATCAGAATGATTACATTTGGAACTTATGTCAGGACTAACTTTGGTGTCTGAGAAAGGAGCCTTTGGGAATACAGAATTCACATCTGGGGGTTCACTCTCAGGTATATTTGCCTTGCTTGCATCTCTCTGATCTACAGTTTTCTGAGGAAGACTGGGCAACTGCTTAGGTCTAGCACCTCCAATAGGTACATTAGGGGCTGGTACTTCACTATTAGTCTCAGTTATTTCTTGCTGAATAATGGATGTATTTTGCTCTGTCGGACACTCAAATTTATAGTCAACATCAGCTATTCTGCAAGTACTGCTAGTACTGGGAACCTTAATCTCCTTCAGTTTTATTTTTGTTTCTGTATCATTGCCCTTTTTAAAGTCTGGACTGTTCATATGTATTAAGTTAATTTGATCTGCATCATATTCCAGCAGATCATTGAAATTTTGTTCTAATGGTTTTGCAATATTAGGCTGAAGACACTGCTCATTTAAGAAGGCATCAAGCTCAGCATCACTTACTAGCGTATCATTTTTTAAAAAGTCTTCCTCAATAGCTGTATCAGTTAAAACCAGATTAGCAATACTTTCAACACAACCATCAACTTGCTGAATATCAGTGCAAGATTCAAGTTTAGATTCTGTAACAGGAAAAACAGAAGCAGGAGCATTATCTTTGTTAATCATACTAGTAGTATCCCCCTTCTTTTCAGGTATATATCCATTTTTTTCTAAACAACTTTGGTTTGAATATTCTTCCTGTTCAGAAGATTCAGTCTTTTCATAGAGTTCCTTATTATGGAGGCCACTACTAGATCTTCCTGCATGCAGAGTCATAGTATCACTGACAACATCTACTCTTTCATCTTGAAGTATAGGGCCATTTGTGTCTTCTTGTACAACTAACGAACCACATATAGATACAGCGAGTGGAAAACACGACAATGAGGTTTGGACTTCTTCAGCTAATGCATGTGAAGCTGAAACACTGTTTAATAGTTTATTGGTTTTAAGTTTTGGCCTGCCTAAATCCTCTTCTGCACATTTTATATCTGATACAACCTTATCCTCCATTTTAAATGAAGAGTCTGCTAAAACACTTTTTCTAGATAACTCTATACTACTTTTGTGCAACTCAGAATTCTTTGGTAGATCAGAAGGCACAGACTCCACATTACCTTCATCTTCTGAATCTATATTTTCATCAACACATCCTCCTTGCACCTCTTGACTTATTACACAGCATGCATTTTTATCTAATAATTCACAAGGCAAATTTTCAGTTGTTGTATTGTCTTTGGAACTGAGCACATTCAGGGTCTGTGACATTATGAGGAGAGATGTAGCAGTAAGGCCTGTTATTTGTTCTAGTTCATCAAATGCTTGATCAGACTTTACAATTTGTGTTCTAGTTTGATCACCACATGAATCCAAGTGCTTCACTTTGGCTAAATTTGTTTTTAAAGCTAACTGGTTCAATTCTTTTGTTGCAAGATTCCCTACATCTTGTACTAGTAAGTCCTCACTCCTCTGTTGCACTGTGCTTGAAACATCACTGTAGTCTATTGATGAAATATGACTAGCAGCTGGTAAATCAAAGCCAATCAGAGAGTCCTTGGTATACTGGAAGCCCTCTGGTTGTGACTTCTGAATATCATCCCGACTGCTTGCTGCACAGATAACGTTACCTGTGTCATTAATGAGATCGCACACAGGTATACTACCTCTTCCTAGGCTTGAAGGCTGAATTTCATCTGAGGCACCACTATCCACAGTAGACAGAAGATCAAGTCCAGTGACATTCTTTTCATTTGGTGAGGAGAAATGTGGTTGTTCAAAGTTTGCTTCATTTGTTGCCACCTGACTAGTAAAAAAGATTTCTTTCGATGTAATACAACTACTATCATGTTCTTGCACTTTTGGTGTTAACGATACAGGTTTTAAGTAATCTGACCCTGAAGAGAGCAAATGGTGCTTTGAGTTGCACTGATCTGGAGCTGTCCTGAAGCAATCATTTTCATCTAAGGAAAAAAAACAAAACAAGTAAAGTTCATAACACCTGTTCTGCTTTCCCACCTCAAGAAACCCTAAAAAATTCATTAACACAATCCCCCACCTCCAAAAACCGCAACTAAAAGCACAGACCAAGTTAACAGTAATCCTGTATGAAAAAAGGAAAAGAGAAGAAACTAACCTGCATTCTCCTCAAATTCATCAAGTAGCTTGTCCAAGTCACAAACAGCTGCTTTAAAGTAACTGTCCATTCTAGTTACAGGTCTAGAGAGAGACTTTATCCCTCAAGTACCTAAAAAATAGAACATTTCATTTATTTGAAGAAGCACTGATTCACAAACTGTTATTGAAACACCATAAAAATACTTTTGGGAACATGAAAACGTATCTTTTACAATAAAAGCCTCACTATTTTTGAGTGTGTTCTCTCTGTCTGGGAAGGTTCCATCCTTTATACACAATATGCTCTCATAAGAACCTTCCCAGACACAGAGAACACAGAATGGGGAACGACTTAAGCAGCCTTGCCAAACCCAGATGCATTCTAGATCAGAAGGGCTTACCAGGTCATCAAGTCTGATCACCCACAAGCCATTAAAAATTCACCTTCATGAATCTAAATAAATTGGGTTAAAATAATATATTTCAGTTTTCAAGAAACTGAATTATTCATATTCCAGGGACAGATATGAGAAACTGGTATGCTGTCAAGACCTGATACCACTGCATGTTATTTTGTATTTAACTACATTACAATGCACTGAACTGAATTGTGAACGTTTAGACGTGATTTAGAACAATGCAACAGTAACCTGCCCTTGTTATGTATTAGTACCATAATACTTGTTTTACTTGCAGCTTGCAGCCAACATTTTATAGTTAAAAATGAAAGTTCGTAGTAGGAGTAAAGATAACAATTAAGTGAAACTACTACTGTATTTACCTGAATCCTTTGAATGACTTTGAATCCTTAGATGACTTTGACTTTAAGGCGACCCCCTGGTAATTAGATTTTATATGGAAATTCATGAATTTGCCATCTTAAATTTATCAACCCGCTTCTGTGGCAGGGAAAGCAATCAATGGCTTGGGTGAGGGGCCAGACCCCACTTCTTGTTCTCCTCCTGCCTGCTCCCCCTGTTGCCTGTCCCCATGCCCCTCCGTGCCTGTGTCTGTCCCCTCCCTTCTCACAGCCCAACTCCCAAACCCCCCTGCCCATCCTTGCCCACCCAACTTTATCTTCCTTTGGGGCAGTCAGCAGCAGCGTAGCCCCAGCCCACTCAGGAAGAAGAGGCAGTAGCTCCCGACTGGGCAAGGTCAGGCCCAGAGCAGAAGGTAAGAGGGTAGGGGGTAGCTGGGGGAAGGGGAGCAGGTGCCACATAAGGGGAAAAGGCTGCAAATTCACCTTATGGTCTCCCACACATGCCCCCTGGCTGCACGCTCTCTCCACTGCCAAACAAGCCATTTGGCCCAGGGCAGTTGACACCTCAGCCCTGGCTTTGGCCCCAAGCCCGAGCCAAAGTCCAAGCTGAATCAGAGCCTGTCTCAAGCCAGTACTTGAATCCAAGATGAGGCTCCCCCCACACCCAAAATAATGACGGGG